TGCAGGCCGTTCCATGCTCTGATCTGAATCTCTATCAATAGGAACCTTCCTCCTAGTCATTCCTAGACTGTGGACCCAACCCAGATGTAATATCCTGGAAGCGTGATACTCCAATGCATTGTGAGAGCTGCAATCTTCCAAATAAGACTTTTAGCAAAATCTCTTTATCTTCTCACGTGAAGATAAATAAGCAAGCTACATTATTTTACCAAACATAGGAGTTCTCCCCAGTACTCTCATCGCTATTTAGCCCTTGACCAAAATCTAAAGCAAATTGTCCAGTTGTAACATTGTTAGTGTGATTTTGTTGCACACAAATTGACTGCTGCATTTCCCTTAATCGCACTTCCAGTGACTACACTTCAAAACAGCTTCGCTGGTTGTGAAATACTTTTCCATGTCCCAAGAGCTTGTTATTTTCAACATGTGTACCATATCAGCTCACTTATAATGTACTGCCTAAAGTCCAATGACTGCTATTTAACAGATGTCAATGTTTAACCCCATGGTTCTTAACCACTTGCATCTTGTATGCTACCAATCAGTGTGTCCAAATGTCCTGGTCCCATCTTGTTCCAAGGACTGTAATTCTGCGTTTTCATGCATTTAAGTATTATATTAACCATTAAAGGGCCGTTTTTGAAATGGACATTGAAAATTTCGACGATTTTGCTGAAACTATGTTTTATTGCCACACTGTAAAAGATAATGATTTAGTCATGAATGAGAAGCCTGTGGTTGCATTTCATTGGTAAAATATTCCAATCCTTCATGTCCCTCTGGTTGAGAAATACTATTTAGTCTCAGTCAGCAACCCGGCTCTAATATTCACTGGATATTTGATACCCAGTTGAGGATGTCGAAGAAGAGCCATTCAACAGAAATGGAAAATGTTAGTGCAAGTTGGATCATACTAATTGTTTTATTAAAAGTTGACTGACGCTCAGGCACGTGAATTTGATATCATTGTATAACGTTAGTTGCATTCATCCTCTAGCTGTTCCAACTCAATGTTTGGTTAAGCTAAATTTTCACATCAAACACAATGTACTTTTGCATCTGAATTTAAATAATTTAATCCAACAGTTACAATCAATATGCATAGAAAAATTAACAAATCTGTTTTGCTAACATTGCATTAGAGCAAAAACAGAGGCTAAATATAATATAAGGTGAAACGTAACGCTAACGAATGGAGCAAATGCCAGCTGCATTTCTGTAGCAGCCCAGTCATCCTCTGATAAGTCACTCAGGTTGCCATCCTTCTGATGTGCGTAGTAACCTTTTACTCCAGTGTCAGTCAGAATACACATTCCTGATCTCGTCGTTGTTCAGTTAATAAATTGTACAACTTCCAGGGCTTTATTAATACAGTGATAAGTACAATAACAAGTATGGTACGCTAAACATGTATAAAACATTGGCCTCAGTGGTATATTCTGCTCCTTTCTGGGTGCCACATTTTAGGAGAAGCATTAAAGAGAATACAGAAAAGATTCTGATTCCAGGGTTTTGAGGAATTTCAGCTGTGGGGATAATTTGGAGAGTTAACAATACCGTAAGAAATGGTAACAGGAGTAGGCTATTCAGCTTCTTGAGCCTGTTCCACTATTCAATCGGATCATGACTGTTCCTCATGCCCACTTTCCTGCCTTTTCCCCGCAACCCTTGATTCCCCAACTGACCAAGAATCTGTCTCAGCCTTAAATTTACACAAGGACTCTGCCCCCACAGCTCTCTGTGGCAAGGAGTTCCAAAGACTCACGATCCTCTGAGAGAATAAACTGCTTCTTCTCTCAGTCTTAAATTGGTGCCCCTTTATCCTGAGACTATGCCCTCTGGTCCCAGAATATCCCATGAGGGGAAACATCCTCTCAGCATTTATCCTGTCAAGCACCGTAAGAATGTTATATGTCTCAATGAGATCGCCTCTCATTCTTCTAAACTGCAGTGAGTAGAGTCCCAACCTGTTTAACCTTTGGTCATAAAACAATCCCCCCATCCTAGTGAGACTTCTCTGAACTGCCTCCAATGAAATGATATCTTTTCTTAAATAAGGGACCCCAAAGTGCTGACAGTATTCCAGATGTGTTCTCACCACCACCTTGTACCGTTGCAATAAGACTTCCCTACTCTTCTATTCCAACTCCCTTGCCTTCCTGATTACCCACTGTAACTGTGTGCTAGCTGTCTGTGTTTCATGTGCCGTACGCTCAAGTCCCTTTGTGTTGCAGCTTTATGCAGTTTTTCTCCATTTGAATAGCATCCGGTTCTTTTGTTTTCCCTTCCAAAATGAACAACTTCACATTTTCCTACATTTTACTTCATTTGCCAATTTTTTGCCCACTTTTTTTAACCTATTAATATCTGTTTGTAATCTGTTTGTATATCTTCTTGCAACTTGCCTTTCCTCCTATTTTTGCTTCATCTGCACATTTAGCTACAGTACGTTCACTTCTTCCTCCAAGTCATTGATATAGATTGTAAATAGTTGTGGTCCCAGCACTAATCCCTGTGGAACCCCACTAATCACAGGTCACCAACCTGAAAAACAGCTCCTTATCACCACTCTGTTTCCCGCTCATGAGCCAATCCTCTATCAATGTCAATACGTTACCTCCAACACTGTGAGCTCTTATCTTATGAATTAACCTTTTGTGAGGTATTTTATGGAATGCCTTCTGGAAGCCCAAAGACACCACATTTACTGGCTCCCCTCTATCCACTCTGGTTCCTCGAAAACTCTAATAATTTAGTCAGGCACGATTTTTCTTTCATGCAGCCATCTTGACTCTACTTGATTAGATTATGATTTTCCAAACATTCTGCTATTACTTCCTTAATAATTGATTCCAATACTTTTCCGACAATAGATGCTACACTAATCAACCTATGGTTCCCCACTTTGTGCCTCCCACCCCCCCACCTTTTTGAATAGGGCTGTCACATTGCCATTTCCCAATCCTCTAATACTTCTCCAGAATCCAAGGATTTTTGAAAAATTACAACCAATTCAGCCACTAGGGTCTAGGCCCGAAACGTCAGCCTTCCTGCTCCTATGATGCTGCTTGGCCTGCTGTGTTCATCCAGCTCTGCACCTTGTTGACTCAGTTCTCCAGCATCTGCAGTTCCTACTATCTCTGATACTATTTCTGTGGCTACTTCTTTTAGGATCCTCAGGTGCAAACCATCAGTTTATTTGCCTTAAGCCCCATTAGTTTGTCTAATAAGGTTTCTTTAGTGATGGTGATAGCATTTAATTTTCTCCTCCATATTCTTTAGTATTAATAGAATGCTCAAAGTATCTTCTACCATAAAGACTGATGCAAGATATCTGTTTAAATCCTCTGCCATTTCCTTGATCCCCATAACCACCTCCCCAGATTCATCTTCTAAGGGGCCTATGTTCACTTTGACCTCTCTCTTCATTTTTATATGTTTAAAGAAGCTCTTACTGGCAGTTTCTTTATTTTTTGCTAGTTTGCCCTTGTAGTCCTTATTTATTTTATTCCTTCTTTGCTGAATTCTGAATTTATTCTAGTCTTCAGGGCTTTCACTGGCTTTTGCCTCCTTATATGCTTTTTCTTTCAACTTTATTCTCTCCTTACCTTCTTGCGTTAGCCACAATTGGTTTATCCCTCTCTTAGAATCTTTAGGATGTAGTTTTGCTGAGAGTCATGAATTACTTCCTTGCATGTTTGCCACTGCTCACTTACTGTCATTCCCGCCAATCCATCAACCCAGTTCACTTTAGCTAATTCTATCCTCATTTCATTGTGGTTCCCCTTATTTATGTTAAACACAGTTGTTTCCAAGTCAGGTTTCTCACTTCCAAACTGAACATTAAATTCTATCAGATTATGATCACTATTTCTTAGGGGACCATTTACTCTGAGCCCATTTATTAAACCTTCCTCACTACCCATTACCAGATCTAGGATAGCCTGCACCCTGGTTAGCTCCATGACATATTATTGGTGTGGGAGACTATTCTTAATCAGTCCATGAATTTGTTGTTGTAGCAACCCTTTCCAATTTGATTAACCCAATCAACATGAAGATTAAAGTTACTCATAATTATTGTTCAATTCTTTATCCATGCTTCTACTGTTTTTTGATTTATAGCCTTGCCCACAGAGTGACTACTGTTTGGTGGTCTGTACAATACTCCGACCAATGTCCTGCCCCTGCTGTTTTTTTACCTCCACCCAAATGGACACTACATCATCTGAGCCTAGGTCATCTCACACACTGTCCTCATTTCAGTTCTTGTTAATAGGGTTAGTCCACCACCTTTTCCATCCCTCCTGTCTTCTCAAAAGCTCAAATATCCCAGAACATTAAGCTCCCAGATTTGATGTCCATGTTTCTGTAATGGCTATGAGATCATATTCATTTGCGTTGATTAGCACCATAAGTTCGTCTACCTTATTCTGAATGCTTCATGCATTTAGATACACAGCTTTTAAGTTTGTTCTATTATCGAGTTTCCCTACACTTTTATAGTTCCTTGGTGTAGTATGACATTCAGTCCCTTCCTTGTATTTTCTGGAAGAAACAATTGCTGTTGTTGGAAGGATCGAGAACCAGAGGGCACAGATTGAAGGTGTCTGGTGAAAGAAACAATGGCAACATGAGGAGACACCTACTCAGCCAGTGAGAGACCATGATCTGGAATGCACTGTCTGAAAGGCACAGTGGCTCAGTGGTTAGCACTGCTGCCTCACAGCGCCAGGGACCTGGGTTCAATCCCAGCTTTGGGCGACTGTCTATGTGGAGTTTGCGCATTCTCTCTGTGTCTGCGTGGGTTTCCTCTGGTTTCCTCCCACAGTCCAAAGATGTGCAGTTAGGGTGGATTGGCCATGCTGAACTGTCCACAGTATCCAGGGATGTGCAGGCTAGGTGGGTTAGTCATGGTAAACGCATGGTTATGGGGATAGGGTAGAGGGTGTGTCTGTGAGGGATGCTCTCTGGAGAGTCGGTGTGAACTCAATGAGCCGAATGGCCTGCTTCCACGCTGTAGGGATTCTACAATTCTGACATTCAAAAGGGAATAGGATCATTATGTGCAAAGGAAGAATGTGCAAGGACAGAGGGATGTTGCAATGGGGGAATCGCTTGCTCAGCACAGATATGACAAACTGAATGATGCTGCCATTCTGTGATAGCAGCATGCTCACATTTACCCATTGATCATTCACCATCTGGCTCCTGGGGCTTGTGAGGAGGAATGTAAGCTTGACACTGGCCAACGGCAGCTCACTCAGCGCAGAGAATTGCATTTGGGAATCCTTCTTTTTCTGTGCTGTAATAAAATGTTCAGCAGAATGT